AAATGATAATAATATTGAATCATAAAATACTTATCCGTCTGCCCGCATCGCGTCGACCACAAAGTCCGCAACTCTCGCCACACGTGCAGCTGATGTTTACGGCCAACATGACATTTTCCAAGCCTTTGAGCCAATATTGACATTGTAAAATTAATGAAAACAATGTCCGTGTAATGTGTTTTATGACATTTTTGTAACTTTATCGTTTATAGCCAATAAACTGGGAACAAGCCTGATTTAGCAGGTTTATGTGGGGCTAAGTGAAATAATAGGTACGTTTAGGGAACAGAGCGAGGTGATCGTGCCTAGCGGGCTTTCTGCCCAACAATTGATTATTGGGATTTTCTATCCTTGTTAATTTGCATGTAAACTTAGCATGTGCGATGTAGGATTTTTGTGACGTCATCCGTTGACATGTACCATGTGTCGCCACATACGTTTCTAAGTTATAGTGTTCTAAAAATGTTTATTAAATTCTAATTGCAAATAATAGAAAATTACACTAAACATTCGATCAAAGAAAAGTCAATGCACTCAAAGGTTTTTAACCATTTCACAAAAAAGCGTAGTAAAAACTTTTTGCTTTCACATGATCTTTCGGTTAGAAATGGCAGAAATCAAATTAAGTTTGAACTCTATATTAATTGTGACTAGACAAAACTAAATGTCACATGGGATTCCAGGTGGATATACCTACTCTGTTCCTAGATTTTAATTTAGTATAACTGCACCTTCGGGAGCAGTTTCAGGCGCAATCTTTAATTTTTGAACGGAGACTGAGAGAGTTGCAAAATTAAATCAGTTTTAGATTGAGTTCACAAGTTGACTTGTGTATAAAAATCTTACTATTTTTTTAAGGAGAATTACATATCATACGAATTGGTTTAGTAGAAAGACAGGCATGAATACGAATGAAAATCTCTAATATATAAAATTCGAGATAGTTCGTTCGTTGCCATACTCCTCCGAAACGGTTTGACCGATTTTGATGAAATTTTTTGTGCTTATCCGGTATCTATGAGAATCGGCCAACATCTATTTTTCATCCCCCTAATTGTTAGGGGTAGTCCACCCCTATTCTATTTTTTTATGATACAATATACAAAAATACATTCAATTTTCACCCTTCTATGAAATTATTTATATGGCAAAACAACGTTTGCCGGGTCAGCTAGTATCTATTAAAAATATGTAACTGATATTATTATGCTATTTATAAAAAGCTAAGTGCCACTTTCACAATAGTGGCGGCAAAATTGGTGATGAAATCATTTACTGAACGATAATACCTATTATCTACTAACATACTGTTAAAAGTAAGTTCTACCTGCTCATATACTTACCAACATATATTTTTTTTTTTTAAACTGTCAAACACCAAGCGGTCACCGGTGACCGCAACCTATTGTTCTATAATTGTGTCTACAAAACCGGTACTCGACGAGTTAAGGGGGGAAAATCATCGAATGACTGCTCCCGCCTGGGTGAGGCGGGAGGGAGTGTCAGACTCTTACTGACTAAAAACCACCCCGTTCCTTCTCCTGCACGTCGAGCCGGAGCCCCGGTTACCCGTTAGGTTCTCCGCGACTCCGAATCGGCATCGGCCGTATTGGGCCCCATCTGTGGTGGTCTGATGGCTCTTTGAGGCGCGCGCGGAACGCGACGCGCCGTACGCTCGGGTCTGTTTCTGGTCGGACGGGGAGCCACCCATGCTCGCCGTCCGCAGGCCCGCGCTTACGGTGGCCGGAGATCGTCCCGCGATCCCCGACGCCCGGTGTGTCCTTCGCGATGGCTGGGTTGCGAGGAGGCAGCGCTTCGCTGCCTCACGCGTCCCGCCTCCTCCTTAGCTAGCATGACTGCTTCGCAAAAGGAGGAGACGGCATCCCAATCCCCCTCGCTCCGCATCATGGCCTGCACTAGGCCCGGACGCGAGAGGTCGCCATCGCCGATCACTTCCCTGAGGACACGGCGGTGCTCAACCCACGCAGGGCATTCTCCCACCGTGTGTTCCACCGTGTCCTCAGGGCGGAACATATAGGTTTAGCATGTTATAATTGACACAATAATGCCATTAAACCATGAAGAAACATTAAACACGAATTTCCAATATTCATTTTGCTCCTAATACTTATTGTGTCGCCGACGAAAATTGAAATTGATACTTATAAAGCTACCCGTTTGTGGTATCTGCCTAATTTTGTAAGAAACAAAATATTATATAAGGGACGCGGGAGGATGGTGAAACAGTTGTTAAGCTGGAAATATGGTTGGTAGAACAACTAGTAAGGGATCACTGCAGTTTAAGTGTGGGAGAGCCATGCTTCTGCCAATTCCCAAAAGCCCTGTAACGCAATTGTAAATCCTTGGTGTTTCGGGTGTCCATGGGCGGTGCCGATTGCTTACCATCAGGTGATCCGTCTGCTCGTTTACAGGCTTATGCTATAAAAAAGCCAGACTCCGTGCTACTACTGCTATTTTTTTTAAACCCCAGATCTATGAATGTATATTTCATCCTGAATTAAGTGCACTTTATTCATTTTTTTGTCCTAGACGCGCCATTAAACAAAGATTATTTTGTTAAACTTCAATATTTTATTATATTCAATACAATAATACTATGACGCGATCAGCTTGCTGTAATGTCGTCAGAGTGGTGTTAAGTTACCATTGTGTAGCTTTCATTTTGTTTTGGTCATAACAATCTTATAATTGAACTTCGTCATAATGGTTGTTTAGTAAAAATATTGTCTATTCATTTTTGAAAGATGATCAGAAGATATTGACCTCGGCAGGTCAACCGTCACCAAGGATCTTGAATATCTTTTAGGTCTGCAAAACTAATTAGGTTTTGCAAACAGACTCGCTACCTATTACTATCATGTCTTTACATTATAACTTTAGTGAGACATACTAAAATTAATTGTTCTGTTTTCGGCTTTTCACGTAAGTGTTTGATGAGGAACTCGACTAGTTTCAAGCCATGTTAGAGGCTCATATTCATGAGCAGCATTCCATGACTCGCGACGCGGCGACTGTTGCGCTGCTACTTTTATATCTGCCTTTGATTTAAAAAAAATACTCTGAATACACTATTTTTTGCCTGATGAGGTGTAAGGACCTAAAATGACATTATGAGTTGTATAACACAAAACACGAAGCAAAATCAAATCGGAAACAGAACTGTGTCACTGTATTAATTAAATTAGTACTAACGATAAAGATTCACGTAAAATAAACTTTATACAACTTTGAAACTTAAAACTTTATGAATATTCCACGAATCGCGCGCTCTATTGAAACTGGAATGATGTCCCTTTTAGTGTACAACCGAAATAAAAGTCTCATGGTACCAATTCCAGGTAAGGAATCATTAAAAATATTTAATGAAGTTCCAAATCATAGAATCGTTAAAGAATTATTGCTTTGATTTTGAAAATGTCTTCAGTATTTAGTAATCAGCCTCCTTTTATGCATGAAACTAATGACATAACTCTAGTGTTCAGTATTCCATTTACGACAGTTAACTCATAGTTACATTACATTACGTTTTTACCTAATTCAAATTTACAAGATACATACATGAGATTATCCAGTAAAACGGACCCTAAATGTGCCTCTGCATACTACTTCGGAAACTAAAGACGAACTAAATAACCATATATTACGGAAATGAATAACTAAAAATTACGAGTTATTCACATAAATATACGGAGAAAAGTTGTAGACAGTATTGTGTCGTCATTGTCGTCAGTGTCGACATTGCCGCGACCGCGCACCCTGTTCATGAGGAAGAGTCCCTCTGTGACTCGAAACTAGTAGAGCTCAGTGTATTTACGTGAATAACTCGTAATGTTTAATTAATGTTTTTACGCGAGTATCTTATAACTTTTAGTTAATTCAGCATGTCAGTAACTTAGTTGATTCAGCATGTCTCACAATTATTATTATAAAACACTGATATATTATGTAACTAAAATTCGCGACAGAATATCTAGAAAATACTCAGAAAACATGATACAAACCACCGTTTGGCCTATTTCACGGCCGCTTTACGCTAATGCAAGATTACATTATTATTGTACGGAGTAATTTCATGTTGACACACTTTCAAGACAGCTTCGTCAACTTTAATACACATTTGAGAATAACCTTTCACAGTGCTTGTTTGTTAAACATTATGGCTCAGATTCGATTGTACCTAAGTAAAATGCGTAAGCATAAGTTTTATAAGAATAATATTAATCCCAGAAGGGGAACACAGAAGTGAGAATTAAAAATGTTATAACGTGTAAGCCTGTAATAACCAATTGCCGCGGAGTCGTGGTGGCGCAGAGGTTTAAGACGCCCGGGTTCGAAACCTACCAACGGGGCTTTTTCTGAGTTATATGTCCTTTGTAAGATAGTTTGGAGTCACTGACAATGTTTGTTTGTTGTTGTTTTTAGCCATGATCGTCCCACTGCAGCGCAAAGGCCTCCCTACCCTCCTTCCACTTCAATACAGCTTTACTGACAATACGTGAAGGAAAATATCGTGAGGAAAACTGGGCTTATAATTTGTAATTTTAAGTTTGTAATCGCCAACCGGCATTGAGCAAGCGTAGTGGTTAATGCTTAAACCTTCTCTGTGTGAAAAGAGGCTTTGCTCAGCAGTGGGCATTTATAGTCTGTTGTTGATGATGATAATGATAAATCAATTGCCATACACATAGTACTGTGTAACACAGGTTGAGTTGAGCCTGCTGCTCAGTGCCCATACAATGGGCACAGACCCCGCATATGTAACAAACAACCCAACGAAAACACCTAAAATCTAGTCAAATAATATCAATAATATATAATTTATCCCCTATTCTATGCTACATAAATTGCAAACCGAATCTATGACCATATATTACGATGTTAGTCCTTAAGATAAAGCAAAGGGATAGACCTGACACAGCATGTGAATTGAAGGTGAAAATCGAACCCGCATGCCAGTATGCCACCTAGAATAGTTGTTTACGTTTCTATCGATAGGATATCAAAATGAGGATCTAATCTAGAATGTAACTGCCGAATGTCGATATTGACTGTCGATAGTCACTTGTTTTTGACTTTGAAAAATGGCGAATGGAATGTTAAAGGCTACGTTTGTCTAGACGTAAAAAGACAGTTGTTGAGCTTTAATTATTGTGTATTCTTTTGCGATTTTCTTCTAAGATTAATTCTTGATTCACTGTTCAAATATTATTTAATAATTCTTTAGTAATATAATATAACGGACTTATGTTAAAAAATTATTGGTTTGCCAATAAGCAAAATATTTTCTATAAATGTAGATGCCAGAAGCTTTCCAATCAAAATCGTGACCTTCGAAAAAGCGTAGATATATTTTCAATACTTATTATGATCAATATAGACAACCTTTTCCTAATTGAATCATATTATACCTTAAATTTAAACTTTTTATTCTCAATGCAATTAAAGTTGTCCCAGTAATTGTACCTCCGATCCCTTTGGCCGTACCAAAGGACTGAGAGCACTTAACGTTGAGACCTCATCCCTCTGGAGTTGATTGACCTTAGCGAGCCTGCGTTTGATAAAAACGCCGGGAGGCCGTGCCATGTGCTCGTATTTTCAGTCTCTCTGAAGAAAAGCGCCAGTCGGCAACGAGCCGTCGTCGAGGCCACACGCGTCCCGCGAGCCTCTCAAAGCTCTGCGCCGCGTAAATAACTTCGATACATAATACGAGACTATTGAGACTCCACTTTCCTGTCTATAATAAAATTTCAAGTGTTTCTATTGGAAGAAGATATTTTATATCATCATAAAAATCAGTGATAATTACTTTGCAAACGTTTGAAAAAGATCTTAAAACTTTTTTGTGTTTTTTAAGGGAGTAAGTTCAGACATTAACTCTTCGCACCCAATCATCTTTGAAATACGGGCTTGGAATTAATCGTAGTGATAAAGACTACGCTCATCTGTGCTCGATGAAATGTAAATTGTAATGTGAGGACATAATAATGAAAGTTTTCTTGATATAGTTCGAAAACAATCGCGTGTAGTGGTGATTCAATTATATGCTTTGACTGGCGGTTTCCTGCGACGACGTTGAACGGAAGTCCACGATACGAAGTCCGAGTCAGTTAGAAATAGCTGGTTCATCAACAGAACGGTAACTAAAGTTTGTTTTTAACCGAACATGTTTGTTGTGGCAACAATTTCCATTATGAATGTACGTGTATAAACGCTTTTACTTACACTCGTTTTGTTATGAATCAAAACAGAAATGAACGTTCAGGCGCGTGTATGGTGTTGCCATTTGATTATTGAAACCTATTTCGGCGTTGCATCGTTACGTCACGGAACTTGGCTTAATTGAACATGGGACGTCGCTACGGACGAATATTAATTGAAATTCCTTTAGCGAACGGATTCGGAATTCGATTAGATAAAATATTTGTCACATTTTATGACATCAATGAAATGGTAGTCAGCCGTGCTTATTCGTTGAGTATTTAAAGATAATTCCGCGGACGTGATCAGGTTGTTATTAGCTAGAATACGAAATAATGGTTACGTTACTTTATTGTAAAGCACTCTACTATAAAGGTCAATGTATTTTTTATTATGGAATCTCCTTCCCGTAACAAAATAATGTCCCATGTCGTAAAATATTTAAGCATTATAGTATACTGTCTCTATATTGTCAAAGGTTTCATTAAAATTCTTTGCGTATATAGACTTATGTCAAGAATTATGTGTTACCGCACTAAAAAGACCGTTTTTGGAGGTTATAAAACACTCGTAACAGATTGTATCTGTGGAGAGTAGCTATATTTCTTTATTGATGTTTTAATCATCATCATTATCAGTGTTATGGCTGTGCCCTCTTCGTTTTGAACAGAAGTCTATTTATAGTAGTCATTACTTTTTAGGGCAGCGTCCTACGTCCCGTGATCCCCTTATTCGATGGGATCTCGTCAGAATTATTTTATTGTACCGATGTTAAGATTTGTATCGCTTCCCTTAGCTTTTGTTTCGTGATTTCGAACTTTCTCACGTTAATCAAAATTCGTAATAACTCAGTGAGATGAAGAAAATTCAATTGTTTGTTGTATATTTATGTACTTTGTTTTTGTTAGTCAATGGAGTTTTTAGTGAGTTACTTCTATTCTAAAATGACTTAAATGTCAAACGTGAATAATAAATATTATTCTCTTCTATTTTCATAATCGGTTTCATTGAAAATTTAGAAAGAGTTCAGGACTAATCATATTTGGCACTAATATCATTTATTAATTTTTTAATTGCAAAAAGTGATGCGACAAGGCCGTTTATCATTTTAAATCATTGTTAATCATATTAATATTTTGTTAAACGTTTTAATATCCCCGTAATGTTTATTTTTACACGTCATAACATGTTTTTATGTCATGTTTTTACGTCTCAAGTGCCTATTCAATCGTTTTCGTTCAAAAAAATTAAACTTCGTTCCTTTAGTTTTTCTACAGCACTAAATAAAAACCGCTAACACAAAGACCTTGATATTGTTGCAAAAACATCACATTCCGCGAACGATTTCTCAATATTGTATAATTATTATCGTATGACTGTGAGACGTAAGCCATGCATGTCTGTTAAATTGTTTAAACAAATATGGAACTCGATTATCGTGTTGGTACAGTCATTTGCGTATCATGATCTATGTTACGCCTACAAATTAGAATGTGCGTATCTTGTACGGAAGACGTGGGTAAGTAGTCTGTCAGGATACATTAACTTTATTCATTATTTCGGAGGCCCGGCTACAATAAGATTGTTGAGTGCTAATATAATCTAAGGCATCTAAGTTATCTGTTTGTATTTGGTCTGAATATCACATTTGGCTATTTAGATAACTAAAATAAGATTAAAGTCTCACTGTTAACTTTGAGACATATTCTGCAATCAACAAAAACGGTAATAACAAGTTTTATACTAGGTATTTGTTGTGAAAAAGTTGTGTTTACTGAAATTATTGACATTTTATTTAATTTTCAAGTGAACGGTGAAAGCGTAACAGTTTAATGGTTTTATTGGTAATTTTTCGTTTGTCAGTTTAGTTCCTAACGAGTGGAAACTAAATATGAACGTGAAAAACTTATCCGTCTTCAACTCGATCGAGTTTGGTACTCTATGAATTCGTTGTGGACTAAGTTTATCGATGGATTTCTTGTAGTTTAGATTTCTTATTCAAACCATTTAAATATACGATTTCTCTCTTGTCAAGTCATAATTTTACTGCAAAATATAATGTGAAAAGAAAATCTGACATAACATGGGATTTCCCAAACATTTTCTTTGTCCATTTATTATTAAAATAAGGAAACTGTTAAATAAGGGTCAGAGTTTAGAACCTTTTTAATTTTGAATATGATTCTGAAACATCCTGTGTATTAAAAATGAAGATCCACCTGTTACTGGGAACTTCTTGGTAAAATATTAAACGGACGATTTGAAAGGATTTCACGACGAAAAACGCTTGTCTTTATAATTTTATTTTGTCGAAATATTGAAACGAGGTTTTAACAATACTAGGAAATTGTTATTTTGCTTTTAACCTGATAAAATTAAAAGTAAAAAATTCAAATTGTAAAGTAAAATGGTTAAAACATTTTGTTGTTGCTACATGTTGACGTCGAAAAAGACAATTTGTTTGTGTTTAAAACTGGTTTTTAATCGCAATGTCAATTATTGATTCAAACTGATTAGTGACTTTATGTTATAAAGCCGCTCCCTGACCGGGAGTATTGGCGTGTAATGTAACGTTACAGGTCTGAGCATTACATCAGTGAAGGAGGAGAACCGAGCATTACAATGCGCACCTTGTAATGATACAATGTGTAATATCTTGATACAACTTGTAACATCTTGCTATGAAATGCTCAAAGTCTAATCTATATGTTACATTACACGCAAATGCTCGTTAGTCAGGGAGGTATTATTGTAATGTAATGCTCAAAGACCAATCTATAATGTTACATTACCCATGAATGCTCCCTGTGAGGGAGCATCTTAAGAATAATAATTATAAATCCAACAAATCCAAACTGAGTTTTGATTTAGAAATGCGCTGTTTCTCAGGCCGGACGCTGCCGCGGTGTTTTATAAACATTAGTACGTAATTTATTACAAGTATCAAATGTTAAAGGAAAACACAGTACACGGTAATGCGTGCGCAATAAAACATAATTTGTGTTATGCTCTATTTACGAATATTAGGTGTAGCGATCCCGATCGTAATGCTGATTAGGAAAAACGATGTGGAGCGTCCGATTATGAGTATTGTTTGGTTAAGTACATAACATCACACCTTTAGGGGGTAAGCACAGGTGCACATTAGAGGTACAGCACTTAATGCCAGTGTACCATGTAACATCCACTTTTCACTATTTATGTTATAAGTCCCAGGTAATAGAGGGTGAGCCTATTGGGCACAATTTCAGACTCCAGACAGAATTCTTAGTAGTAGCTAAGAATTCTAAAAACCCATTAATACTTTGCACTACCCGGGAATCGAACCCGAAACCCGAAACCACTTAGCCAACGAGACAGTCAGTCAGTGTTTGGTTAGGTCAATAAGGAATTATGAGAGTGTTAATAAGTTACAAGAGGTAGCAAGAACAACTAACAAATATCTGTGTTCGCGAAAATACCTACTTATTTTGGGTTTAAGTTTCTAAATTTCTATGATCCAGTATTCTGTGATATACTCACACAATTATGTAAAGCATACTAGATGACAAGATGATAATTCCATCATCCAGTATGCTTAACAATATTACAATACTGATGATGATATGAGCTAAACATAATTATATCTCATATAGTTACTATCATAACGTAACAAGCAAATCCAATAACTCCGAACAAAATCAATAAATAACATCCAATTGCTTAAATATTCTATACCAAGCTTCCATAAGAGTTAAACTAAATATGATCAGCTAACGACTGGACCCCAAGGAATCCCAAACCACGTTTACTAGTACTTATACTAACGAGGATGGCCTAAGGTCAGTGGTTTGTTTGAACTAGTCTTATTCTGTGCCTCGTTTAGACTACTGCCCAAGTTTACATAGTGAAGGAAAACATTTCACTGGAAATAGTGTAGGGAAACGTTCAAGTGGAAATGTAACGTAGGCTAGTGGTATTAGGTACAATGTCGTGTAGATTTTTTAGGTTGAATAAAAGTTAGTGCACGTTTTGTTCAATTTTTTTAAGTTTACAGTGTAATTGTAATTGTGCATACTAGTGTAATTATGTAGAGGTTTTTGGTAAAATACATTTTTTGCACATTAAACTTATGCATTATAAATCGTTAGTTTTTGGACTCTAAGCTTTACCAACTCTCAATTGATGAAGCTGAAATTTATTTTCAAAAGATTATTATAACCTTATACGGTTCGAGTTGTCGCGGAGAACCCAACGGGTTACCGGGGCTCCAGCTCGACGTGTAGGTGAAGGAACGGGGTGGTTTTTAGTCAGTAAGAGTCTGACACTCCCTCCCGCCTCACTCAGGCGGAAGCAGTCATTCGATGATTTTCCCCCCTTAAAAAAAATACAGTTCGAGTTTTATGTGGTTGTTTATAACAAATCGAGTAAAGTATTATTCAAACAGAATTAGCATCACGGTTGTCGGGATTGTGTGTAGTTCATTAACGTTCAACACATTTAAATTGGAACGTAATTATATTATATAGCTAAGTATTGTGCAAGTTACATAAGTTTATAAACGGTTACATTTCAATCGGTTATTCCCGTTCGTCACCCCAAGCTTTGTCCCCTCCGGTGACAAGTTGGAATTATATTGAAAAAAAATCCCATATGTCACCCCCAGGTGACGAATGGGATTCCACTTAGAAATCATCCCAGTCGTCACCGCTAATAAAAGCTTGCTAAAACCATAGTTTTACATTGCGAATGGAAATTTGTTTTTGAACTAAATAATACAATACAGCCAAAACTTTTTATTTGCTTTTATTTTCAAAATCAGGTTCTAAAACTTTTTATTTGCTTTTATTTTCAAAATCAGGTTCTAAAACTTTTTATTTGCTTTTATTTTCAAAATCAGGTTCTAAAACTTTTTATTTGCTTTTATTTTCAAAATCATTCTTGGTGACGCTCACTTCG